TTTAAACATTATGTCGCTAAGATGCATGTGCTTACTTTTTTCTAAACAACTTCAACAAAAATTGGTTTTTAAAAATGAAATTTTCAGGAACTATTAAAAATACAATATTTTATGCAATAAATGTCTTTCCATACCTTTTTAGTAATTTTTCTTCGTGTGATAAACATTGAAACATGAAAGTTTGCAGAGAGCCACACCACAGCTTGCACACATGACACTTGTTTCTTTTCTAATCTTATGCTTAGCACACACTAGACACTTTCTCATGGCACCATTCTTCTTATTGTTACTGGGAGGAACATGGACCATTTTGTGAACTTTCAAGCCACCCTCTAGACGATTTTCTGGGTCTTTCACTGGTGGTCTTCTCAAGGTCGCGGGCGGAGGCGTGACTGCACTCGAGTCTGACGCAATAGATTCGTCATCCACTTCATTCCTTGACTGTTCTCCCTCTCCACACTGTTTGTTTTGTTCTGTCATTTTTTCTACACAGTCCAATATAAAATCTTTGAATTTGTAATTTCTCTTCTTGTATTTTTCTGTTGTTGTGTACTTTTTGAATAGAATGAAACTATTCAACGCTGCCATTTGCAACAAGAAAAACACCAGTTTCTTTGTCCACTTTACAGTTTTGCGGGAGCAAGGATAATAATGCAGCATTTGATCGGCCCTGTCAACCCCTCTCATATGTTTATTGTAGTCCCCAATTACCTCGGGTCTGCATATTTTTTCTCCTTTGCGATTCGTTTTTGCAGATTCCACGATTTTTGCTGTGTGAAGAGTGGAGATAAGTTTGACGTCTCTTTTATCTCTCCACACCTGTACGAGAACCTGCCCCTTCCTAGAAAACACAGATTCCCCTTTTTTCAATTTTTTTACATCATTCTTTAGTTCTTTGGGAGCTCCTCTGTCCATTCTGAAGGTTCCACACACATAGGTATTTCTCTGTAATAACGTCTCACATAATTCTACACTATTGTAATAGTTATCCTGGTAGAGATGATACCCTTTATCTAGAAGCTGTGGCCCCAACAGATCGACAACTAATTCTTTTATAGGTCTTGATTTTCCGCAATAAATTTCAAAATTCCAAATATATCCACTTGTCGATTCACAAACAAGATAAGCCTTTATACCGTACTTATCAGGTTTATCAGGCATATATACTCGGAAGATAAGACGTCCTTTCCAAGCGATCATTCCTTCATCTATTGCAATTTCCTTTTCAGGGATATATGTGTTCCTAAATTTTCCCACTAATGAGTCTATAATTGGCCTAACTTTATACAGGCGATCTTCACAGTCAGCTGGTCGTGCATCGTTGTCAGCAAAATGAAGAAATTTTGAAATCTGTTGGAACCGCCGCAAAGACATCTTTTGTCCATACCATGGAGTGTGAAATAGGGGCCTAGTGGACCAATAGTCTTCAATTTCAGGGCGTTTGTCGATTCCTGTCATGAACACAATTCCTAAGTATGTCCAGATTTCATCTGATGTGACATATTTGTAATTGAGTTCTCGAGAGTGAGGAGCTAACTCATGTGTGTTGAAGTGCTGGTGAGCATAGCGATTGGTTTCAGTTGTAATGTGAGTTACTAAGTCATAATCCAGAAAAAATTTTATCCATGAAAAGGGGTGCATTTTATGTGTTATATCAATTTTGATCCCGGAACTACTAGTAAATGGAACTATTATTGGTACAATGTCTCCGTACGTCCATGAGATGGGCGTGTCAGGCACTGCACTCGTGGTAGCTAAATGTTCATGATTACTGTCTTGTGGATCATTGTCTATCACTGTATTATTGTCACTATCAACTTCATTCAATTCAGGAATCATTATTTCATCGCCACTATCATCATCAGCACAAATCTCCTTCACAACACTTTCCAGCTGGTCTGTAGGAACACACCGACACTTGCTGCGAGAAGCCATGGTGAAATTGAATGAACGTGAAATATTTTTTTAACTTTTCCTTCTCCGAGGGTTCTGACAGTAATATAGACCCCCACAAAGTTTACAAGGGTTCTTTACAACCATGCACAAAAACTATCATATATATGTCTTTGGTTGATGAGAGCCAAGAGAACAAATAAGGGAAGAGATTTTCAAAGCGTTAAAACACGCCAACACCAGGGAACGGCTGGCATCGCCCTGGTGTTAAAACACGCCCGCGCCAGTCAAAGAGTTAAGAAATATCACAATTAGCACTATTCTGTAAAACACATCCAACATGATCATTACTCCTGGTATGTGTGACTGCACTCCTGCTTGGTTTACCACTGTCACCAGTCAACCTCTGATTCACAAGATGAAACATCAATGTAAAGTTAGAGATGATCTGAGAGCACTGAAAACGGTAACCACAAGCACCCTCCAAAAACTGAAGAGATGCAATACGAGGTGCTATTGGAAAGTTCCCAGACTAGGTCAAAAAAGAAATACTGGCTTAACTTATGGAATTTTGGCTGGCATCTCCTTCAAAATAGTCTCATTGGGAACGTATACAGCGACCATGGAAGTCATTTTCCTTAATGCTGTTGAGTAGTGCTTGCGATTCCCTTTGGATGTCAGACACCGTTTCAAAATGTCATCCCTTCAGTTTCACTTTCAATTTGTCAAACTAAGCAAAATCACAGAGGGCTAAGTCTGGCGAGTAGGGAGGATGTGGAAAGATAACCATACTGTTGTCAGTCACACACTGTGGTTTTCAGGGACATGTGGGCGGGAACATTGTAATGATGAAGGTGCAATGTGGCGCACGTTCCAATTTTCTGTTGAGATCTCCTGGCAAACTCCACAACTGATCCCAATGGTGTCTGCAAGCTCATGGATTGCTCAGTAACAGTTCTTGAATTTTTTCAACATATTCTGTTGTTTTGCTGGTGCTTCGTTTCCCTGAACATTCGTCATCTTCAACTGACACGCGACCAGCCTTGAAACATGTCATTTAAAAACTACTGTCCAACTTAAAGGCTCTTCTCTAAAAGCCTCACAAAGTATTTCGAGGGTTTCGGCAGTCGATATACTGAGATTCATGCAAAACTTGATGCATACACATTGCTCGATTTTACTATCCATTGCAGACATAATGAAACACAAAGTTGAAAAAGCACTCGTGTAAAAACAGTATGTGTTCACAGCAGGGTGTCACATGGTAGACTGATTGCAATAGGCTTGTGGAAGCGTGACCTTAGCCTCCCCTCTCATCTTCCTTCACTGAGGCAGTCAGAACAATAACAGTCACGGAACTTTCAGATACCACATTGCATGTTGCTAAAAACTCAATTTTTGGACATTCCGATTTATATCCATCAAACTTGGGCAATGTTAATGATGAGCATGGGGAAGACTTTCAACAAGAAATAACCATACTGGAGAAATGATACTAGGACAACTGGAGCTCCAGCATGCTGGGTGACCACAGTTGGACATTGGTAAAGAATCCCCCGAGGGAAAATATGAGCATAAATCATCAGTTGCTACATTTTAGTAGTTTAACATGCAATTTTTTTTAATGTTTTATTATATACTGAATTCAGTACAAATTTAATTTGATTCACTAAAAAATGGAAGGTTTTAGAAAAATTTTGAAGTAATTTTTATGCCTAGCATTAACCCTTCAGCGTGGTTTGCCATACACGGTACGCTGGTATTTAAAAGGGTCCTACCTGCGGTTTGCCGTACACAGTACGCCAAGCTGTAAGCCTAATTTCGAAGGTACATAAATATGGAATGAACCATGCCAGCATGATGACAATTGCACTGGGCTGTTGTGAAAAGAATGCTCTCTGTTCGTGTAAACATAACATTCAATTTCCTGCAGCTCTGCCAGTCAGTCTAAAAATAAACGCGTGAGCTCACAGTGGTATCAATGAGTGACTATGATATCAACATACCACAAAGATGATATGCATGAATAAAGCAAACAACCTAGAAACAAAGCCCTGTTTCTTTGTGATTACAAGAGAAACATGCTAGGAGTGGATCTGAAGGATCAAATGCTACAGCCGAACTTGCTTGAACAAAAGAAGAGTACTAAGTGGTATCAGAAGTTATTCAAGAGGCTACTCAATGTAGCAATACATAACACACTAAAGTTCAGACTTTCACTAGCACAAGGTCTCGTGAAAAAACACGGTTCTCGTGTTCCTCATCCTGTATACGGCTGTCTGTCAGTTGAACCGCCGCCTAAAAGACTCACAGAACATTTCCTGGAGCGTATTCCAGCCACAGGAAAAAAGGCAAAGCCTCAAAAAAGATTTGTGGTGTGCGCAAAACATGGTAAAAGCAAAGAATCTATTAATTGGTGTAGTGAATGTGAGGCAGGGTTGTGTTTAGATGGCCCTTTCAAGAAATACCATATGAAACTCAACTTCTAATCCACTTGCTTCCATTGCTCAGATACAGGGAGCTCATATTATAAGGTAAGATTATAAAACCATCTTTTAAGATGATTTCAGTGAAAAATTCATAATTATCTCTCAGATAGTTCAAAAGTTATGATACATAATATAATTTAGAGCAAAATTTAAAAGGGCAATTAAAAAATACTACCGCAGGAGGCCCCACAACAGCGATATTTAAATGCTCACGCTGAACGGTTAAAAAACTCATTAAGACCCACCAATTTTTGTACTTGTGACAAAAGTAGTTCTTTTTCGTCATTCCACCTAATTAAGAGGAAAACTAGTTCCTATGGTTATCACTGACAACATACACTGGCAAATGTAGCAGCAAAATGATCTTAGTTTTTTTTTGGGGGGGGGGGATATATATACAGTGTGTGCGCATGCACATGCACAATATTTTACACTTGGTCTCATTAAGTAATCACATCATCTGTCAGTGCAACATCACATATAAGAAGGGTTAGACAACCTTGAAACAAAATCTGCGTTTACTCTAATAATAGTAGGCAACTGTTCCAGCTGGCCCACTTAAATCTATACAATATAATACATATCAAAAGGATGCGATTATTCATACCAAAAACATACCTAGTGTTAGTGTAGCATTTCCATCATTAATATCTTGGCCTGCAATTCCAACCAGAGAAAACTTCAATTGTTTGCCAAGTTCAACAGCATAATTGCAGTTTTCTAGTTTCTCCATGAATTTACGTAGCTTGGAGAATTTCCTGCAGATGTGAAGAAAATATTTCTTAGCACAGCATTAATTCTGCTTGATAAATTTAGTCATTCATTATCTCCATTCATTCATTACTGAGTACCGGAAATCTGGCAGAAAATAGTAGAACACAATTTAGCTAGTAAAATGGAAGTGAAAAGGCAAGGGTATGCACTCAATCCGTCCCAGAATTTAAAAATCCTTAGATAGTATGCTCAAACTGTTCAGGAATTTCTTGCATCAGTGTTATGTTGCACCTTGTCTATCACATAATATAAGAACAATTTTCTATTTTTCTCACATGTTAAGGTAACATTACAAATTATTTTAATCTGATTATTTTCTTTGAAATAGTATGTTCTATGAGAGAAGATTAAAATAAATTTCTGTAGTCTTGCCTCTTGTATGAAAGGGTAGGCCATATAAAGAAATCACTGTCATGAGGAAATGTTTCAGGAACATGGATTAAAACAGCAACTATGTAGTGTTACACAATACTAGAAAAGATGCTTATGTATTACTGCTTTCCTAGGCAAATCAGCAAAACTGTTATTGTAACAACATTCTCTAATATCAGCTTTGGTAAAACTAATGAACTGAGTCCTTACTTGTGTACCCTATTCCAATTGACAATGCCTGGTTTGATTATGTCATACAACTGGAAAATAACGAGGCCATCTGCAAGATCTGAATACAGCCAGTTTACATATGGAAGTACACCCATTGAATTCATCCAATTTCTGTATGCTGCAAGAGAATGAGCAAGACATAGACAAGGCTACCATACAGTTTCATTACACAAAGAACATATAACTACGTGGGTTACTTCAAAAGTCATGGCAACTAATTTTGGGGGGGCAAACACGTTACAGTGAAGAAAGTTCAAAATATACTTATGAAAGGGCATGATATACCCCTCCAATTGTGTTAAATGTGAGTTAAATCTGAATCCTTACATTATGACTAGCAACCTTCAAAGTAGTCTCCAAGTGTATAAAGCACTCGCTGCCAGCAATGAAAAAGATGGCAAATACCATCAGCTTCACCATCTCCAAATCTCGTCATCTCACGTTGAACTGCATTGGAAATGTCCTCTCGTGTATGAAAGTGTTTCCCTCGCAATGGCTGTTTCAATTTGGGTATTAAGTCACAGTCACAGGGAGGATGGTGTAGTACTTCCCACCCCCAACATCGTAAACGGTTCTTGACACTGTGTGCTGTGTGGGCGGTCCAATACATTGCAAGTCGGCACTTGCTTCTCTTCCACGTTGGAATGCTTATATTCACCTAGCAACAGTTCTGTATGGTAGAGCATAATCACCCAGAGCTTCCAGAAGCTCTGAATGACATTCAGTTGCATTTCTGCCGAGAAGCACTGCTATTTTCACGTAACGCTGTTCCAGCTGGCTAATGTTCATTCTCAACGAAGGTTATGATCACACAGACTTCGCACTGGACTCGCTTCGTTGTCCTTGGACTTCCACATCATCTAGCGGCATCATTAGAAATCAGATGTTGCTGTCTCTCAGTGGCAAATTTGGAAATTCCGGTCAGAGCTTTCGAAATTTCAGAAAAATTATGTTGCCATGACTTTTTAAGTAACCCATGTATCTATAACTATAAATGTTACTGTCATTAATACTTAATGCATATGCCTACATCACAGTTTGCTTACATATAATTATATAGAGGAAGGAGACAAAAAACCACGTTTTGGAGATTGGATCTGTCTCCGTCCTCACATGGATGGGGCAGGATAAACCTACTCAGTTGGGACCATCGGAAAGAGCTAGTCTCAATCACTGAACCCAGTGATTGTCTTTGATATACCAGACAATGGATAGAGTCCAAAATAAGCCTAATAGTTCTGTACAGCAAACACCATCATCAGAATCCTTTCAAGTTTATACAGAGGAAGGAAACAATGTATGTTTCGTAAGTTTTGAGGTTTTCACAGCGATGACAATGAAGAAAGCCGTCTTCTGGGTTTAGGCACCGTGTATTCTTCGTTTTG